AAGGCATCTAGGAAGATGGAAAATTCAGCTGGAGTATTTCTCCACAGACTCAAATTCCTAAAACAATTCCTTATTACATTAAGGACATCAAGGATCATGGCAGATTGTAAAATCAATCCGGGCAGCCTTAGAGTCTCAATGGTGAAGGATGGTACCTAATTCTCGGTGCTATCTTGAGCACTATCCAGAAGCCTCTTGACAAATGTTCAGGTTGAAGTTTTGCCCAGTAGTTCCTCTGCAATACTATAGGCACAAAGTCTCTCAAACTTTTCAATGTGTGAACCTCTTTGATGAGGTGAAACCCTCCAACCATCTGCCCTACCTGTTTGCTCTGACCACAAGGGAGAGCGTTTGCTTTTGCTCTCTGTTCAAGATTTTGATGGATGATGAGTTTGCAGCAATCCAACTGCTCTGAACAAAGCCCACATCTCCTTTTTCTCTTTTGAGCTGAGTGGGGAACAAAAATGTGTTTCTCATTATTTGATCTGTTTTAAAATGTGAGTTCCTGCTGAGGTTCATTGCTTTGGGGATTGCTAGGTATTTCATCTTAGACAAGACTGGCTCTTCCCTAAAGTTAAATAATGGCAGTTTGTCTGAAGACAGGAAACTATGATGTATTTGGCTACATATAAAGGTTCAATCAGATATTAATATTGGGAAAATACTTTCTTGTTTTTAAGCATTTGTAATTCTCTTACATGGTTGGTATGTGTATATAGTTTATAAGTGTATATGTTTGTGTATATAGGTGGGGGTATTAACTGGAACATCATAGTGACTAGCGGGATGGACCAGTGAAAAGCCTTCAAGCCAATGAAAAAGAACAAGCCTTGTAACCAGAAGGTCTGATCTCAACCCTGAGTTTTTCTAATAGCTATGGAGCAGCTAGTGATTATAAGAGATTAATCCAGGGGCCAGAGAGATAGTACAGTGGTAGAGTACTTCCCTTGCAAGTGTGACTGATCTGTTCAATACCTGGGTTCAATCACTGACACCACAAAGGGTCTCTCCACAAAGGATCACTCCGTGAGCGCAGAGCCAGGAGTAAGCCCTGAGCACCCCTGGGTATATCACCAGAACAAAACAAAGCAAATTTATTCAGGGACCAGATCAAAAATAGTATAGAAGAAAGGCGCTTGCTGCAAGTGACCGATCTCTGCTCAATCCCAAAGCACGTCCAGAGTCATTCCTAAGTGTGGAGCAGAAGCCCCCCAGCACTCACTCTCCACCCCCCCCCCCCCACAAAAAATTAAATGTACCTTAAGGAGACTTACTTTCTACCAGTGGAAATAACTAATGTAGGGTACTTCTTAGAACTGGTGTGAAGACTCAATGAGATACTGAAGGTTCAGTGAGGTACCCCTGGCCCATCATAGGTATCCAGTAAATGATGTCTCTAATTACCGTTCTATGCCATGGAAGGAGAGTTTGCATTACGAACACTGGGCTGTGTCCAGCAAACATCCCTATTCCAGAAAAAGACATTTATAATAAAATTTTATGGCGAAGGACTCTCTCTCTGTTCAGCATGGGATAGAACTGATTAACACTGATTAATCAGTGTTGTGACCCTGGCCAAGTCACTTAACCTTAGTGACCTCATTAAAGAAACATCTCCTGAGTTCCTGCTTACCAGCTCCAGGCAGGGAATGGGGTCGGCTATGCTAGGGCAGCCAAACAAATCCTGACTTTGCTTCTAGGGTTGACTTGGGCCTCCAGTGAGGCGTGCCTGTGAGAGTACTTGGTAAATTAAAGCATTATCTAAATGCACTGCTGTGGCCCCCAGGCAGAGGCAACATTGACTCTATCCCATTCAGGAGGTTCAAATGCAAACTCTCCATTCCTGGGCATTCAGTAGAGAGCAAACACTTGCTGTTTGGCTTCAACATGGACTGAAAAGCAAACAGGACCTTTCCAGCTGCTTTGCTCACACTCTGCTCTCTTCAGAACAAAGCTGGGCCCTAGAAGAGCTTCCTGCTGGGTGTAGAGAAGAGATGCTGGATTCCAAACTCAGCCCCAGCTCCCAGGGCCTTTAAGGATGGGGTCAAGTGAGACATTAGAACAAGGAGCCCATTTACTTGGTACTTAATTAAGGGATTGGCTTCATCGGTACCCCTGAAGCAATCAGAGATAATCCCAAGAGAAACACCTGTGACCAGGTCACTGTGTGTGGTGTTAGTGTCACCAGAGAGAGGGGGAGGGTGGCTGAGGCCTGTGGCTGGTCTGGGAAGTTCCTTCCAGCAGCATGACTTTGATGTTATCTTTTAATTCATGCCAAGTTTTGTTCTTGGAGCTGGAGTGATAGCACAGCAGGTAGGGTGTTGCATGCCTTGCATGCAACAGACCCGGGCTCGATTCTTCTGCCCCTCTCGGAGAGCCCGGCAAGCTACCGGAGATTATCTTGCTGGCATGCAAAGCCTGGGCCGGAGCAAATTCAATGAACAGCTGGAGGACAGTGCAGTGCTACAGTGTTTCTTCTTGGAGTGCCTAACACTTCCCTTCTCTTCATTCTCCTGCTGACTTCTCCAACCTTCTTTCCTCCAGTCTCATTGTTCCCGCCCACAAATCCCACATCTGCCTTGGTGATAAGAGCAAAGCCCTTATCAACCTGGACAAAGACAGACCTTCCTTCCTAAGTGCTAGACAAACTCAACCTTGTCCCCCTGCTCATTTTTGTCTCTGTTCTCACCACTGCCCTGATAAAGCTGAGATCTTCGTGACACTTCCATCCTGCGGTTCTTCCTCTCTCCTCAGACCTCTAATATAATATGCATTTTTTTCTTTTCGTTTTTTGGTGGGGAGAGGGGGGGTGGGGTTTGGGGCCACACCTGGCGGTCCTCAGAGGCTGTTCCTGTCTCTGTGTGCAGGAGTTCCTTTATCCACCCATCAGTTCTTGGCACTTGGGTTGTTTCCAGATTTAAGCTATTGTAATAGCTCTGCAATGAACAGGAATTGTGTGAGGATTTTATGTAATTCATTTGTATTTTAGTGAAGCAGAATAGTTGTATTTAAAGAAATTTACTTAGAGAACTATGAGGAGAGAGAAAGAGGGGGGAAGGAGAGAAAGTGTATGTGGGAAGAGAGAGAGAGAGAGAGAGAGAGAGAGAGAGAGAGAGAGAGAGAGAGAAATGTTCAAGAGAGAACATGGAATTTTCAGATGGGATTCTCCAGAGTGGAAAAGTCACATGTGAAAATTTGAAATGCCTGATTCTTTAATCTTCACCAAGTCCTCTGAGGTTGATACTCAGACTGTACCCATGGCACCCGAAGTCTTTGGAAATTAAGGAATTTTCCCAAGCTCTTAGCCAAGATACCAGGATCTAATTCTGATCCCCAAAGTTTGTGTTTATGAACAGCTAGAGTAATACTCAGATTCAGCCAGTGGCTATAGAAGACTCGTGACTGGTCTTGAGCCCGGGGGTGTCTCTGTGCATCTGTGAACTTGGCGCCAGAAGTCCAATCCCCAGCTCTACTTCACATGCCCAGTGTTATCCAAGAGACTCTGCTTTTTGGGCCCCTGGAACCACAATACAAGGTGTGACTTCTGACTTACCACAGCTAGGTTTGTAAGAGCACAAATTCAGTGTGTGGACCCCAACGTGCACATCGGCAAATGCCAGAACTAAGCATTTAGTTCCTAGTCACTACAACAAGAGAAATAGAAGGGAAAGAAAAAGAAAGTCACACAATAGAAGAAAAAATTGAGACAGACACCAGTCTTATCTTTGCTTCCTCCAAAATTTGAGGGAAAAGTATAGGATTATTTTTTTTGGGGGGTCACACCCGGCGATGCACAGGGGTTACTCCTGGCTCTGCACTCAGGACTTGCTCCTGGCGGTGCTCAGGGGACCATATGGGATGCTGGGAATCGAACCCGGGTCGGCCGCATGCAAGGCAAACGCCCTACCCGCTTTGCTATTGCTCCAGCCCCGAAAAGTATAGGATTCTGTACCCACTAAGGGAGAGAGGTTCTGGATGGCAGAGATACTGGTTTTATTTTGCTTTATCTGTTAGAGAACCTAAGCAAAATACAATATGCATGATGCATTTTGAAAGCATCTTATGTATTTCTCTGGAAATTAAGAGTTATCTAATCCAAATATATGATTCTGCTTAAAATATAGCTTTCTTACAGGTTTTAGCTCATCATTCTTTAGAGTGCCTCACATATCAAAGCATAAAAAATGGCAATTGGCTGCATGAGAAGTTCTGAGAATTTATAATATTTGGAGACAGGATGATATGGCAGAAAGAACATGAGGTTTGGAAGAAAAGTCTTGGATGGAATATGCAGTCTGATATTTACAGCAGAAAAGTCACCTAGCCTGTTCTTCCCGCAGACTTAGAATGGAGATTGTTAAGTCTGCTTTAAAAAGATTGTTGTTTTGAGGATTAGTGGAGACTGTAAAACAAAGTTTTAGCTTCTCTGTAGCATCAGCTCCTAGTTCCTTTTTGCACTTCACATGTTGTTTTAAAGAACTGACACTCTTTCATCCTGGCTTAAATCTACAGCCCTTCCTGCTTGAGGTTGGTGATCCCTCCCAAACCACACACAAACATTTTTAAATGTTTGTAATTATGCATTTTCGTGGGACATGCTTCACTAGATTTCAAAGAAATCTGTGGTTTAGAAAGAATTCAGAACCATTCTGCAAGTTCCTTCATTCGTCAATATTTACTGAATACCCATATAGGGTCAAGCATTTGTGCAAAAATTTTCTCTGTTTTTGAAGAATTTACAGCTTAACGAATGAAAATGCAGAGTAGTGTCAGTGGGGACATGGTGCAAAGAGCCATTCAAGCGTGGCATTTAACTCAGGCCTGCTTGGCACGCATGAGACCTCGGGTTTGATCCCAGGCACCACATGGTCCCTGAGTAAGTATCAGGTGTGGTTAAACAAACATATAAACAAAAAACCCTAAACAAACCAAACCCCAAATCTCTGTATTGTTGAGCAAATGCGTCTGTGGCTGCACTGTTTACAGTTTTGTGGATGACACAACAGAAAAAGCTTGGGACGGAAAGAAGCAGGAATGTACTGGACATCCAGCAGGTTTGAAGGATACCGTGCAAGTAAGAAATGGGGTCAGGAACCAAGGCCCTCAGCCTCTGACTCTCAGCTCAGTGTCTTCGGGAATTTGCTGTCCTCCCCTATGTCGGAGAGAAGAGGCAGTGTGCGCCCTGTACCCGGTGTCCCCAGACTCGGCCTAGCTGCAGTTTCCTTTCCTAGCCTGCTCACAGATGCGGCTTGAGGCCATCACACAGCATGAGATTTTCCTTTAGAGTTGAATTGTTCAGCTTTAAAGCAGATCAGCACCAGACCTGGGAGAAGAAGAAGCAGGGGCGGGGCAGGGCAGGGGGGATGCTGGGGGGGCAGGCAGCAAAAGCTCTATTTGCTCAATTGATCTCTCAGAGAACAAGCTGGAGATAACAGTTGGGTCACTGTGTCAACAGTGTTGTGAAAACAATGAAGGTGCCTTTCAGCCTGGGTCTGTAGAGGTGACTGTCAGATTTAAAGCCAGAGCAGAACTGGGGACTGATGTGGCTCAAACTATCCTTCCCACCATATTTGATAAAGAAAAAAAAACTGGAACCCTGGAAAACTGACTTTTTATTCTCTTTTTTTTTTTTTTTTGGAGGGGGGGTTGTGGAGGAGCAAAGTTTGGAGTGCCTGGTGTTACTCCTGACTCTGTGTTCAGGGGTCATTCCCAGTGGCACTGGGAATTCAACCCTCTGATCTCTCTCTCTCTCTCTCTCTCTCTCTCTCTCTCTCTCTCTCTCTCTCTCTCTCCTAGATTTTCAATGCAGAAGGGCTGTGGTTCATAGGCTAAAGACTGTGTCTTGGTGCATGAAGGAACATTCCTGAAGATTCATTCTAGCAGTGAAAAAAATCTGAGCAAGGTAAAGACCCCTCCCCCAGCTTTGCCCACAGGGATCCGGACACTCCCCCTGTGCCCTCAGACCTTGGGGTTGGGGCTGTGCATATTTATTCTTTCCAGTCGTGCACTTTGCTCTTTTCTTTTCCAGGCCTCAAGTCTGTGTTTGTTCTGGGGGCTGTCTCTCCTTGCACGTTGCAGGCGGCCCCACGTTTCACTCGAGTTCTGAGCTAAATATAACCTCGCTATCGTGGAGGCCCTGTGCATGTCAGCCCACTGAAAGTGTGGTATACACGCCATCCCAGCTCCCAGAGCTGCTTTCCCAGGACGGCACTTTCCCATGCAGATGCTCCCGGGTGACACGTTTGCAGGATCTGGGCTGGGGAAGAAGTTTGTTCCTGTATCAGCCTCTGCCTGTGTGTGCAGCCAGCTGGTCTCCCATGGCAGAGTCTGGAGGAGGCACTCTTAGGTTGCCCCCCCTCCATTAACCCCCCCCCCCCCCAACTACCACTCCCATTCAGTCTCTGCTGGGTAGAGGAAGGGAAACAGCATCAAAGCTCAGACACATCCTTGCCTCATCTGGGGGCCTGCAGGAGTTTCCCTGTAGCAGACTGAGTCATGGCTTTGCCTCCTGCCATAGACCAAGACTCAAGGGTCTTAGGAAGGAAGTTAGCGATAGCACAGCAGGTAGGGTGCTTGCCTTGCAAGCAGCCAACATGGCCGACCCGAGTTCGATTCCTCCGCCCCTCTTGGAGAGCCTGGCAAGCTACCAAGAGTATCTTGCCTGCACGGCAGAGCCTGGCAAGTTACCCGTGACGTATTCGATATGCCAAACACAGTAACAACAAAGTCTCATGATGGAGACGTTACTGGGCCCGCTCGATAAAAATCAATGAACAACAGGAGGACAGTGACAGTGACAGTGACCTTGTTCACAGTGACAAGACAGGGTCCCATGCCAGCCCCTCCACAGAGCTTTCTTCTGTTCAAGATGATCTCCCCTGCCAGGAGGAGAAGTGCAGGGGCTTAGAACGCCCAGGTGCCCTGAGCACTACCCAGGTGCCCAGGTGCCCTGAGCACAGTCCTGGCCGCTCTGTTGTTTCCAAGCCCCCACCCAACGCTGCCATTTCTGGTGTGAGAGCAGCAAAAAATGGGGCACAGTGGGCACCTCAGTGAAAGAGAAGTGCGGTCCCATGGCCAGAAAGCACGACCTCCAGTGAGCTCGTCCAGGCTCCCCAGTGACTCCCTGGGGTACTGCAACCCTAACTTTGTGCCGCAACTAAGTGTGACCTTCCATGTGCACTAGAACAAGGATTGCCACTCAAGGAGCACAAACCTTGGTGAGCACTGTGGCCGAGAGTGTGAGCACTGCAGCCCGACGTTTGACTCTGAGGACCACCACAGTGAACACCTTGTGACAGAGGGAGAGAGAGTGCAAAAGTAAAAACAACAACAATAATATATGAGCCTCCCAACCAGGCTTATATGCAACCCCTGGTCATCACAACAACACAATGATGACAACAAGACCAAAGAGACATGGGCAGGGCTGGGGGGGATGCACAAGGGGTAATAAAATAAATGCTGCAGAGGTGAGAAAGATAGTACAGCAACAGATAGGACTCTTGCTTAGCATGAGGTAGGCCTCGGTTTGATTCCTGCCAATTCATATGGTCCCCTGACCCCACCAGGAGTGATCCCTGAGTGCAGAGCCAGGAATCAGCAGAGAGCAGTGCCAGGTGTGCCCCCCCCCCCCAACAAAAAACAATCCTGCCCCTTTCTGCTTATGATAATCATTATGCTGACTGAAAGTTGCCCGCATACCTTTTAAATCACTTAGTGGCTTTACTTTTGTTAAAATGAGAGTGAAAGCACTTCAGAATTTGAGTCTTTAGCTTCAATTGACTTAATCCCATTCTCCCCGCCCAGCCCTGAGAAAAGAAAGCATTAGGCACGTGTCAGTTTCTCACTTTCCAGGGAGCAGAGAAGCAGCATTCAGCTGACATTCCTGGACTCTCTTGGTACAGTAGAATCTGCCATGGCCTGCATTGCAAGGCTGAAGAATGTGGGACAAGACAAGGCAGACTCGTGCGACAGACAGACCTCTGTACAAACAGTGAGAGGAGCAGGGCACTGGCTCAGCCTGTGGAATGAGCCTCTGAAGAGCAAGAGCGCCAAGGGGGGGGGGGGGGGGCTGCCACTGCTGACACTGGCCCTCCAGGTGTCTCCAAAGTCACACCCTTGAAAATGACCCCGAGGTCCAGCAGCCCAGCATGTGGCTCCTTGGAAAGAATACTTTCAGATGGCTAGAAGGAGGGGTGAACTTGGCAAAGGTTCGAGGAACAGGAAAAAGCAGGGCAAGACAATCACTTAATCACTTAATCACTTAACTTCCCGTTTGTCGTCGATTTGCTCAAGCGGGCGCCAGTAACGTCTCCATTTGTCCCTGTCGCGTGCTAGTGTAGCCCAATGGCATCTGTTCGCTCCGGGAACATGAAGGGCCTCAAACCGATCGTTCATGATCTTGACGAAGAAGTCTGACCATCTGGAAGGTGGACGGCCACGTGGTCTTTTGACATCCCGTGGAATCCAGTCAGTAACAGCTATAGTCCAGCGGTCGTCTTTAAATCTCATTATGTGACCAGCCCATCTGATTTTCGACACCTTGGCAAATGAGACAGCGTCCCTGGTTCTTGATCGTCGACGGATGTCAGAACTCCGGATTCTTTCTCTCATTTGAGTGAAACGTGATATTCCAAGCATAGCTCTTTCTATTCTTCTTTGGGAGACCTGAATAGCGTTCTCATCTTGTTTGCGTAGGGCTCAGGTCTCTGAGGCATATGTTAATGCAGGAAGAACAGTGGAATCAAAGAGATGTGCCCGGAGCCGGAGGTTCTTCGTCCTCTTAGCTATTTCTTCGACATTCTTGAAGGCATTCCAAGCCGCTCTCTTCCTCCTGCACAGCTCGGGTGCCAGGTCATTTGTCATGTTGACCTCTTGACCTAGGTACACATAGCTGTTGCATTCGGAGATGGTCGTTCCGTTGAGAGCGAATGGGGCATCAGGAATGAGGCTGTTTCTCATAAACATTGTCTTCGTAAGATTCAGCTGTAGTCCTACCTTTCCACACTCACGGTCAAAGTCGGCCAGCATTTGTGCCGCTTGGCTGATGTTTGGTGTTATTAAAACGATGTCATCAGCAAAGCGGAGGTGGTGTCGTTGCCGACCATCTATCTTCACTCCCATTCCTTCCCATTCCAGTCATTGCATGACGTTCTCGAGGGTGGCACTGAAGAGTTTCGGTGAAATGGTATCACCCTGCCGCACCCCTCTCTTGACATCAACGATCACTTCTTTGTAGAATGGTGAGATCCTGGTAGTGAATCCGCAATACAGCTCATGGAGGATCCTGATGTATTGGGCTTGAATGCCCTGATTGGCTAGGGCTTCAATGACCACTTCCGTCTCAACAGAATCAAAGGCCTTCTTTAAATCAATGAACGTTAAACAGAGCAGCATCTTGAACTCCCGAGAAACCTCAATGAGTTTGGTTATCGTGTGGATATGTTCCTTTGCGGAACCCGGCTTGCTCGCATGGTTGTCCTTCATCTAGTGTTCTGCTAATCCTATTTAGGATGACTCGAGTGAACAACTTGTAGAGGACAGACAATAGGCAGATCGGGCGGTAGTTGCCAATGTCATGGATGTCTCCCTTCTTGAACAGTAGTACGGTCCTGCTGGTTTTCCATTGGGACGGAACCTTGCATTCAGACAGGTAGCGAGTGAAGAGCCGAGCCAGTGTATTGATGAGTACTGACAGCAGGTTCTTCAGGTGTTCAGGTCTGACCTTGTCTGGGCCGGGTGCTCTTTGTTTCTTTACCGACGAAATGGTGTGTCAGATTTCGGAAGGGAGAACGTTGGGAACGACATATCCATCCTGTGGAATTTGGTATGTCGGCAAGTGGACATGGCTATCAAAGAGATTTGAGTAGAAGTCATGGATAATCTTCTCCATTGCCATTCTGGAGGATGCGATGGATCCATCAGGATGTCGGAGGGCAGTCATATTGGTCTTGTAGTTGGCGAAGGACAGGTGGGCATTACGAATACTTTTCCCGGCTTCTGCCGCATCTACCAGTACTTCTGCTCTTCTCTCTTTGAGGTCTTCCTTGATCGCATCTCTGCACTGCTTTGCAAGCTCGGACGTTAGCTTGCGGTTGCCTGAGGCATGCGCCAAACCACACTGGCGAATTAGCTCAAGAGTTTTTGAAGACAGGCTTTTTTTGTGGCTATCTCTCTCTCGGCGTTCCTCGCACATTCATGGAGGTGCTGAACCAGTAGATCGTATTCCTCGTCAATATTGTCAACAATGTCATCTTCCCATGTTGCCGCAATAGTACCAAAGAGTTCCCAGTTGGTGGTCATTCTGGGAGTTCTCTTTTTGAACTTTGCAGCCCTTTCTCCCCGCTCTGTGAAGTAGAATTTTGCACGAAGGAGGCGGTGGTCCGATCCCATTCGAAATTTTGGGACAACAGCGACATTGGTCAGGCAAAACCGTCGATTGAATATGATGTGGTCTATTTCGTTGTGGCCTCACATTCTGGGGGGGAAAGGCAGTTGGGATAGAGAAGGAATCACTAAGTGAATGATGCTTGGAGGGCTTGCTTGGGATGGGAGATGCGGGAGACTCCCATGTCCATCGTTTAGATTCTGCCTTCTGGAACTGTGAGTTACCATGAATGGTCTTGGTCGACATGATGAACTCAGACAGTCTCTCACCCTGTTCATTCCATTCTAGGCCATGGGTCCCGATGTGAAGTTCTTCAGCTGATCTTCTCGGTCCTATCTTGGCATTAAAATCACCCACAATGATCTTGTAGAAGGTGTGGTCTTCTTTATAGAACTTCTCTAGCTCCATGTAGAACTTCTCGATTTCTCTTTCATCATAATGAGATGTTGGTGCGTAGACAACGAAGACAATGGGCAAGACAAAGGGAAAGAGAAACCCAGAGGAAAGTTTGGCTGTTGGTTGGTGTGGTTTTGAACTGCGTTAAATCTTGGTGGGATGCAAATGGAAAAGGGTAAAAAGCAGGTCACTGGAGCTGGGACAATGAGATTCCATCAGTAAGAGTGCACAGGTGCCAGAGAGTGCAAGGGTGAGACATTTGCTTTCCACACAGCCAACTCTGGTTGGATCCCCAGCACTGCCAGGAATGATCCCTGGGCACAGAGTCAGGATTGAGCCCTGAGCGCTGTGAGGTGGAGCCCCAAACAAACAAAATAAAGTTCCCCCAAACAAAAAAGCTGTGTGGGGCCGTGCTTGGTGAACTTCTCCATGCTGATGACTTGTGGTTGTCTTCTCAGCCATTTTTCTGCGTGACCGGTTGACTGAGAAACCATGTCCCCCAAAGCTCACTTCTGTGTGTATGTTGCTCCTAGGCAGAGGAGGGAACAGATCTTGCTCTTTGCCCTCTGTTTCGTGTTTACAGGATCACCCTCATGCACGCAGGACTTTGTATGAGACACGGTGTCCGTGAGCAGGCATTAGTAGAACCATTCTGGTTAGAGTACATCTGGGACTGTGGGAGGCCTGGGGTGGGGGCAGAAGGGTACCAAAGGTCAGAACTGAAAGTCCCTGAGCCTCTGACCCCTGTCAAGCAGACAGCTGAAGGAGGGGGTGTCCTTGTGGAGCTGAGGATGCAGACGATAGGGAGCGCCTGCCAGGAGCAATGGGGCTGACTGAGTTCGGGAGCGATAGGCTTCTCAGTTATTCCTTGTTAGAACTGGAATTGCTTGGAAGCCGGCCTCACATTCTGGGGGGGGAAGGCAGTTGGGATAGAGAAGGAATCACTAAGTGAATGATGCTTGGAGGGCTTGCTTGGGATGGGAGATGCGTACTGAAAGTAGACTATGGACCAAACATGATGGCCGCTTACTACCTGTATTGCAAACCATAACATCCAAAAGGAGAGAGAGAGTAAAAGGGAATGTGCCTGCCACAGAGTGGGGTGGGGGGAGGGAAGTGGATGGGGGGATGGCGGGAGGGATACTGGGTATATTGGTGGTGGAGAGTGGAGGGCACTGGTGGATGGATGGGTACTTGATCATTGCATGACGGGAACATAATTGTGAAAGTTTGTAAGTCTGTAATTGTATCTCACGATGATTCATTAAAAAATATTTTAAAAACTTAAAAAATGACAAAAATTATAAAAGTGAATAAAAGACTGACAGAAAAAAGAAAGAACTGGAATTGCCAGGTGCTCACAGCTGTGGGTTCTCTGGAGATTGATCTTAGGAATCTGGAGTTACTAGATCACAAAGTGGTATCGAATGTGTATGCACTCAGTTGTCGAAAATTTTACTCAAGACCCCAGAACAGACTTCCCCGGCCTCAGGTGGACATAACACATTACCTTGGACCCACTGTATTTCCATGGAAACGGGTGAAGAGGGGCAGGTTTGCATAAACAACAGTTCAAGGTGGAAGGTGCTTGTGTTTTCTTCTTCTAAAGAGGTCCCTTCTCCCAGCTGTGCAGCCTGACATTTCAGTGCTGGGGGCCCTGGGAGCCAACAGGGAAGTGCCTGGGGGTGACTGTAATACTGGGCATTGAACTTAAGGTCCCTCACATGCTAGTGGACCCCAAACACTTGTGCTCCCATTCAGATCAAAAGATTTCTTTAACTTGCTTGCTTTCGCCTGGTTGTGTTATTCAACCAGCCCTGCATACCCAAAGGGTGGTGTCATGTGCCAGTTTCCTCTCTACCTCAAAGACCGTTCTCCAGAGCAGAGCATCTGAACCCACACACTGGAAGTATTTCTGCACCGCCGGGTTCCTTGACTGCATTCACTAGCACAGAGCACTGCGGATGAGCAGGGAAGGGAACCTCAGGGATGAAGTCCTTGCTCTTGTGGAACTGAGACTTTGGGGGTAGCGCAGGATTGAGCCCATTTCTTGTGGTGTTTTGGGGTCACTCTGGTCCCCAAGCCATATGGTACCAGGGATTGAATCGGATCAGCTGCATGCAAGGTGTAAATTTGGACTCTGTCCTTTAGACTTTTATGGGAGCAAAAGTCTGGGGACAAAACAAGAGCATAATGTGGGGATAGTAAAAGGCTCCAAGCAAGGCAGGTGGGAAGGTGTGCAGGTCACAGGAGCACACCTGCCTTGAGGCTGTTTCTTACACCAAGAGTCACATGTCACCACAAGGCTGACTTGCTTACTATCTCAGCACAGAATTCCTTGAAAAACAGAGGGGGTGTGTTTCAACAATGTATTTCATCAGAAATGCCCTTCAGCCAAACTTGCCCATGTCTCACTGTCCTCACGGATTGGGGGACCCACACTCCCCCAGTTTTCTTCTTCCTTTCAAGGGTCCACTTTCTTCTCAGCATCCCCATGGAGTGGAGCAGACTGTCTTGCTCATACAGTTTTGGCTCATGTCTATTTGTGTCCAGGAGTTTCACCCTGAAAGAGGGAGCCTCAATTTCCCCTTGCCAACAAAAGGGGAGCCCACAGTTTCCCCTCACCAGCAGTTCCATTTCTCCCCATCAACCAATCACACTCCATCCCCAAAGTCCTATCTTTAACATTCCTGGAGTTCCCGAGGACCTCATTTTTCTGTCCCAGAAATAGTAGTCACAAGACTAAGATAATGAACAATACCCAAGGAGGTGACCGGAAAGACAAATCAGCCCAACCAGCGTGTAGGTTCCCTGCAGTCTCTGTCACACAAAGACCCAGTTTTCCTATAAAAATCTCACAAAAAGACCCACAGTTAACTTAGTTCTATATTAAGTTCCTCTCCATTTGAGGGGCTCCTTTTCTTTTCTCGTCTACTTTCCAATAAACTTTTCTACTTTTCAACTCTGAGTCTGAGCGTCCTTATTATTCAATATTTTCATTCTTGAAAATGTTGAAGAACCTGGGAATCGCAAACAGAGACCCGCCACCACCAGTTCCTCCTGGCTTGCATCAGCCCTGAGGTAGATTTCCCTGTGCACTTGAACATACTAGTTGCTTTCTACTATTTGTAGCAGCTGTTTGTGGCCTTTTGTGAGAATAGTTGTTCTGTGTACAATGATTTGTTTTATTCTCTCCCATTGATTTTCCCTTTTCTTCTCTTCTCTCTTCCTTCCTCTGCTTCTCACTCTCTTTCCCTCCCTCCCACCTTTTTCTTTTTACTCACTTTTCCCTTTGAGTTCTTTTTATTTTATTTATTTATTTATTTTTGCTCTTTGAGTCATACCTGGCGGTGCTCAGGGGACCATATGGGATGCTGGGTATCGAACCTGGGTCGGCCGCGTGCAAGGCAAACGCCCTACCCTCTGTGCTATTGCTCCAGCCCCCTTTGAGTTCTTTTTAAGCGCGCGCTTGTGTGTGTGTGTGTGTGTGTGTGTGTGTGTGTGTGTGTGTGTACACACTCTAAAGCCTCACTACAGGATGTGCTGTTTAGTTTATTGTTCTCTGTCATAACTCAGAACAAATGCCACCTTCTCTTCCAGTTTGCATCCTTATTCATTCTCCCCAAACTTAAACTCCAGTGATATGTGAGACTTGGCCCCTTCTTTTCTCTCTCTTGCTCTTAACTCTCTTTCATGTTTTCTCTTTAACGCTCAGCTTTCTCATGGATGATGTGCGCATATCTGTTTCACAATTGCAAACTACAATGACCTATTTTACAATCCAGTCTCTTCATATTTGCTAATCTGTCATTAAATTATACTTTCCATCCATCTTAATGGCACTAAGATGTTTTATAAATCCTTTTTTCTTTTAGCATAGTGCTTTATTCTTTTATTTGCTTATTAATGAGAAGATTTGGCCATACCCTGAATTATTCAGGGACTGTTTTTCTCTCTCTGTGCTTAGCAGTGACCCCAGAGTGGTGGTACTCTGGGGATCATTTACAGTGCCAAGGGATTGAACACAGGCCAGCCCCATGCCAGGCAAGTGTCTTATGCTGCTTGCCAGGTAAAACTCTCTTCATTTACATCTCAGTACCTTACTTTTTTCCAGAGAATTTTGCCTTTGAATATTTAATCTTCCAAATATATATGTATATATATATATTCAGATTGCCATTCTATTCAAACAAATCTAAATCTTTATTTTATTTTGTTTTCCTATTCTTGCAAATGGTGGGTTGTTTCAGTCCCTATTTGGTCATTTTTCATCTGTGCTCCAGGAGACAGACTGAGTACCTGTGAGACAGTCATTCATGGGCTGAATTTTGAGAGTATCCTTCTATGCAGTCTCTGCATGAGAAGGATGGAGGCCTTATGAACAGGGTGCGCTCAAGAACTATGTGTAACTGACCCAGGAGTGGTTTTCATATTAATCTTTAAATGTGGACTTTCCCAGACCACACAGGTAAGTCTGAACCTTTCACTCGTGTGGAACACAGACCTACAGTTCCTGTTTTCCTAGGAGAGACTGTCTGCTGCCACCCAGACTCAAGCCAGTAGCAGAAGAAACTTTCTTGTCAAATCTTGTACTGGTGGGTGGCTTTTACTAGTCTCTTTTTTAATCAGGAGGCAGATTATGAGAACCCAAGAATTTTAGTTCCCAGATCCACATGTTAGCATCAACAGCACTTTGTTAAAGCTAAAGTTTTGGTTTAAAATCTGAGACACTAAGTGCAGGCTTTGGGTGCAGGATGTCCTGTTTCAAGCCTTAACTCCATACCATCCCCCAAGCACAGGCCGGATGTGAGCACTACCAAGTATGGCCCCCAATTTTTTAAAAGTTTAATTATACGCTGCTATGCTCCCACTTGTGGTCCCTGAAGAACCACCTACACCAGCAACAATAGCATGTGGAGATGGTCAGAAACACCAGTCTCCGTGCCATTTGCAGAATC